CGAGGTGCTGCTGTCGCTGGACTGGGAGCGCCGCTTCGACCACATGCAGCAGCACTCAGGTCCGTGCCCCGCCCGACCGGGGGCCATCCGGTAACACCTCGCTGCAGGGGCCGGTCGCAGTGCCGCTTCTCCCGGGCACTGGGCTGGGGCGGGGGGGTGGTCAGTGCCCAGCTTGTCCCCACCCTGGCAGCTCTGCACGCACCGTCCATCCCTGGGGCCGCTTGGGAAGGCAGGCATGCCTCCGCTGCGGGCTCTCCTTGGCTTGTAAACAAACCCACTGCCAACAGGTGTGAAAGGAACAGTTCACGCTGCTTCAAAGTCTTCCGCGTGTGACGTGGTGCTCTCAGGGTCCCAAGGCCCACGAGGAGATGGCTGTCTCTTCTGCCTGCTCCTAGGCAGTAGCATAAAGCCCACAGCGCTGAGCAGACGTCTGGGCATTTGCAAATGTCATGGGGAATAGCAGCAGAAGAAATACAGTCTGACTGAAAATCCCTTTTTCTGTGTCCAGTGGCACTCAAAGCGGTTGCTTGCGCATTTCTTCCAGGACAGCATCTCATCACTGCCATCGCAGAACAGATGTTTGGATTCAGGACAACTTCATGGTGAGCAGGGAAGAGGCTCCTTTTGACCCCAGTCTTACCTTGTTTGGCATGTGCCACCGTGCTGGGCCACAAGGAGCTGAATATTGATAAATCAAAAGCAGTTTTCCCTTGGACATTTCAGTCAAGCTCAGGGGGCCTGGGAGAGGTGACTGAATTGGAGAGAAGCTGTGCAAAGTATTTGCTCTGTCTTGTCCCCCTCCAAGTGTTTCGTATGCATCTGGTGCTCTGTAAATAACAGGGAGAGGAAGGAAGTATGTTTTGTTTCAGTCACCACATTCCCAGCAGCTGCATGGCACTTAGTGCTGCACAGAGGGACCTTCTGCCTGGTCTTAGCTACAGCAGCAGATGTTCTTCGTCGGTGCAGGGAGCTGGGCCGTCAGCGAAGTGTCATTGAGCTGGACACCCCCTCCATGACAGCAGAGCAAATAGAGGCACTGGAGAGGAGCGTGAATGAGAAAATCCGGGAGAGGGTACCCGTGATGGTGAGGGAACTGGCTGCAGATGACCCTGAAATTGAAACAGTGAGTGGTAGGGAGGGAGCTGATGATATCGGTGGGACCAAAATAACTGCGGCATGGATGTCACCTTGTTTGCCATTGTCCTTCTTTTCCTAGGTGAGAAGCCGTGGTTTGCCAGATGACCACGTGGGGCCAGTGCGAATTGTTGACATCGAAGGCATAGACTCCAACATGTGCTGTGGGACTCATGTCTCCAACCTGAGTGACTTGCAGGTGGGGGGCTGCAGCTGAGCTACCTTTGAGAGCCTTGCTCCACACATTCAGACCTAGCACAGCAGAAGTCCCTGAGATCCACAGACTGCTGGAAATTGTCCCAATGGTAAAGGGGGTGGCGGAAGCCCCATGCTGAGTGAGCCCCCAGAGGGCCATACACAGGTCGGCAGTCTTTGTCCAGTCAGTCAGGCTCCTCTCTTTCTTGGTAACAGAACTCAGCCCTTGTCTGTAGCAACTATATTTTCTGAACTGTTGATGCCTCTGCGGAGGGCCCATGGTATATTGCCAGTATGGCAGTGCATTGCTGGGTTGCTAGCTGTTTGTTCCCTCTGCTTAAAGCTCTGATATTTTTGAGAGTTTGTCATGAATGAGAAATCCTCTATGCAGGGAGGTAGAGATAAAATTTTAGAGCTGCCTTTACATGTTTCTGTCTTTTCACTCATTTATTGGAGTCTGTATCCCAGCAGAGGCATCCAGATGCACTGTAGAGTGCAGCCCATGACTAGCAAATTATGTTAATTCCACTGTATCACTATCCTTTTTTTTGTATGTTGGCCATATGGTTGATTTAAATCAGTTTATTTTCACCGGCAGAGAGTCAATATTCACAACAAGGCACAGTCTAGTAGGAACTGACCACCTGTATGAGTATAAGCAAACTACTGTTCTTTTCTGACTGGGGTGATTTTCTTTTTAAGGTTATTAAACTCCTTGGCACAGAAAAAGGGAAAAAGAACAAAACCAACTTGATTTTCCTGGCAGGAAACAGAGTGCTGAAGTCAATTGAACAAAGTCACAGTACTGAGAAGTCTCTAACCTCACTGCTCAAGTAATACCCTTTCCACTTCTGTTATTTCATCTTTACTATTCCTTCTGACAAATAGCACATAAGCCTCAGGGTACATCTATGTGGTGCTTTTTATGATGTTATCTGCTTTTGCTCCTCTAAGAAATCCTTTCTTTGACCTTCAGAGTAGCGATCCAGATTCTCCTTGTTCTTTCAGAAGTGGACCAGGTGAGCATGTAGAGGCTGTGAAGAGACTGCAGAGTTCTGTGAAACTGCTTCAGAAGGTATGAGGATGGCTGAGAAAAGCAGATTGTGTCTGCTTTCTGTAGACCTAAGCTTTAGTCATGATAACTGGGAATTGAATTTAGGCATCAGTTTTTGTGGGTATTATGAAAACTGCTCCAATCTCTGGGACCACAACTCAGTGTTCACACTGACTTCTCCATCTGCAGTACAGTTTATTTGTTTTTCTTTCAGAATAACTTGAACCTGCTTAGAGATATTGCTGTTTTGATAGCTCGGGACTTCAAGACCAAAGCTGTTCAAAGTCAGCTGTTTGTGTTACACAGGTACGGGAGCATTCAGGGAAAACAGTAAAATGGTATCTTACACATTTTATGGCAGTTGCGCCTCTCTAATACCTATTCAGGCTTGTTTCTCGAGGAAGAATGTAAACAAGCTGAATAGAATATTAAACTGCCTCAGCCTGCTGGAAGGTTGTGTAATTAAAGGAATGTGTTAGTAATTTAGTCACTGGATTCTTCTGGATTTATGGCTAAGAAATAACTGTGTCTATTTGATTTCTTTCTGCTCTTGATATTTTCAAATAAAACTGAGGAGCATTATTTCTTAAAGATAAACACTTAAATAATTCCTAATATATCCACAGGAATGCACAACGAGGATTTAGATATATAGGAAAAACCTAATCTCCATCCTAACAGCAAGAGGCCAAAACCCCATGCCTGATCAGGCCTTTGGTTTCTGATTGATATTTTGAACTCTAGAGGGGATTTTTTCTTCTTTCTGAAGTGGTTTTTTTTTTTACCCATCCATACAGGAAAGAGGGTGACTCTGAATTTATGAACATCATCGCTAATGAGATTGGGACAGAGGTGAGTCACTGATGAAGGCTAACCTGACATCACTGGCTTTTTCATTCAAGCTGTAGCACAGCTACAGGGGCTGGCCAGGCTTCTGTTTGTACTGTAGTCACAAGCTACAGGTCTGTTTCCTTTCAAAAGTTACATGAGGTTGTTGTCCCCAGCAGCCTCAGTCTGCAAGGGAATCCTCAACAGTCAAGAAATACACCAATGAAAATTCAGAGCGCTGTAGAAGAGCCTGTCCCCCAAACAGCTGTACAGAACCTCATCAGCTGCCTATAGAATAGAATAGAATAGAATAGACTCTTTCAGTTGGAAGGGACCTACAATGATCTAGTCCAACTGCCAACCATGTCCTTTTAGCTTAGGATACCCCGGTACCCATTCTGTCCCCTACAACATATGATTGAGCATAAAAGGTTCAAAAGCCCCCCTCCCTTTTACTTCAAATTGAATCTCTGTCTCGGTAATGCACACAAACTTCTGAATTGCTTGCATGCTTGGATGGGTGCTGTGGCCAGTGGCTCTGTCTCCTTTCTGGACAAGGAGGGTTCTGTTTACTCTGGAGCAAGATCCATCTCTGTCCACAGGAAACCCTGCTGTTCCTGACTGTAGGAGATGAAAAAGAAGCAGGACTCTTTCTTCTAGCAGGACCTGTTGAAGCAGTTGAGAATTTAGGTCCCAGGTAACGTGTTCTATGGTTTCTTTAAAATTGGTAAGAATTCTAATGTTGCAGCCAAAGCAGCTGACCAGTATAATTAGGGCATGGATCTTTCTTTGCTCACTGGAGCAGGTTAGGCCAGGTCACTTTCTTCTCTGCAAGTGAGTGGCCTTCAGCCTGTGCTGTTGTTACTGCAGGGTGGCAGAGCTGCTGGAGGGCAAAGGAGCTGGGAAGAGAGGCCGCTTTCAGGGCAAGGCAACCAAGATGTGTCGGCGAGGAGAAGTGCAAGCTCTGCTCCAGGAATTCATCAGCCATCAAAGCCCTGAAGCGTAAGAATTCTCGTACTAGGGCTGTCTTCCCTGCTTTGCATAAGGCCCACCAACTTCTCTCCCAGAGAATAAAGACATAAAAACAACAGCTGGTGTGCGTATGCTCTGTGTGAGATGATTTGGTGCTCATGGAAAATTGGGGGAGGGGGTCTGCCATCCACACTTTGCTGCAAGAGTTCTTTCATTTCCTCAGACAAATGGTACACATTCTTAAGTGATTAAAAGTAGTCATTATTTAACCATTTTGTAGGCTTCCTAAAACCAAGAAAGGGGCCCTCCCATTTGCAGTACATTGTGGCTTTTTACTTTGTACCAGTTGCTGAGGAGTAATTGCTTTGTGAGCATATTTATTTATAATAAACTGGATGCATTTAAAAAAGTCAGTACTGGTAAGAAGCAGAGAGTTTGAGTATGATATTTACCAACAAGTGCAGAGAAAATGAATCAAGCTTTTGCTGCTGAAATTTTGTAGGGAGAAGAAGGAATGAAATGTGGCAGGACTTGGAGGAATGCTCAGATCAATAAATCCCACTTAAAAGAGCAAACTAAGCTGGTCACCTGAGGTAGAACTGGGAGGCAAGAAGACAAGATGCTGTTGTCAAGGCTGTGAGCAAGGAATAGAGAGGGCACCAAAGGACAAGTCTCCATCAGCCCTTTTTTTAAAAAAAAGGATCTGACTTTTTTTCTCTGGCTACTCAGAAATCTGCAGATGCTGGAGGTCTGAAGATGTTTGTGTTAATGCCATTGCCAGGGCCCCTCATTGCTGGCCAGCATGCAGGGCTGCCGCTGACATCTGGACAGAGCAGGTCCCTTGATCAGCAGTCACTATTGACCCAGCTGTGATGCCGATGGGAGCAGCTGTCGGGTGACACTGCAGTGCCGAAGCTCCACTGCAGTAGCATCAAGTACGTTATTGCAAAAGGGAATTTCATCCCTTTGTAGCTGGCGTGGCAAAACCATGTTAACACACATGCGCCGACTTTGTACACAAGAATTAAAGGTGGATAGAAGCAGCTACCTAGTGCTTTGTTTTGCAGGCAGACAGAAAAACATATTAAAGTCATTTGTTTGAGCTGTACATTGGGCATTTCTTGTAGATGTGTGCCTGAATGTTTCCTTCACTTCTATTGCCACGAGCTTGAGCTTTCATTACTATTTTCTTCTTCAGCAGTGGCCTTTTCCCTGCCCCTGCAATAGTACCTTATGTTCAGCTCTTTTACAAGATAGGAAATAACTCTACAGAAAAGCAGTAGTGTGGCCCGAGCATTACTCTGAACGAGCCCAGCTAGGCTGTACTGCTATGACTGTCAATGACAGATTGGGTCTTGACATACAGCTGACTCATGCCACTTTCTCTGCTAGTCTGCAAAATGTGACATTGGCCAAGCTCATGTCTACAGGTCCTGAGCATTCTGCTTTGGAATAGCAGCTGTTTCTGTAGTCCCCTAAGTAGAGACTGCAGCTTTCTGTGCACGGGTACATCAGCACCAGGCCATGCTGGCAGTGCCTTGTCTTCACCACTACTGGGAAGACATCTTCTTGGTCCACTGCAGCACTCCTACACCTGGCCTTTGCTCTGGGGTACCTGGCAGAGGAACTGAGCCCTGAGCTGTCCTACGGCAGGGCAGCCCTTGAAGAGAAGAACAAGGTCACGATCACACCCCCCCCTCCCCGCAACGTCCCATCCTTCTGCAGTTGTGTCAGTTCCCATCCTCCTCTCGAGCTCCCATCACAAGAACTACCTGAGTTCAGGAGTCTCCAGCAGTGAAACTCATTTCTGGATGAGTGCCATCACTAATGCTCAGCAAAAGGAAGCTGTTCCCCACCTGGCACCTCGGCCTGGATAGTGGCAAGCTTTCTTCAGACTTGATCAAGCACAGCAAATACAGTCCCGAATCGGCCGGGGCAGAGAGCAGCTGGAAGGGAGAGCAGGTACCCCGCGGGCGGGAAATCATTCACCTTCATGTGTCAGTCCTTTCCCTTGTTGGGGTGCAGTTCTTACCAGTCCATATTTGAACGTCAGGAGTTTTTCTGGCTAACGCAGGTGTAAACTCCCGTGGGATCAGACAGAGCTTTCCCCCAGTGTTTCCTCCGCTGGCCGCTTCTGCCGGAGCGGTTG